CCATCACAAGGAGGAGAGGGAGGGCCAGGCTCCTCAGTCTGGGTAAGCTAGCATCATTGCTTCCCTATTAGGGTTGCCAACTCTGTCTGAATATATTCCAGGTTTCATCACATGATGTAATGACATTAATGACTTTACATCAGGAAGGTAAATGCACATAATTACATCTTAAAAACCCTCTGGACTACTGTATAAATTAAATTCAACATTTAATATTTATTTTAATGAATGCCCTATCATTTATTTCTTGGGTGACTCTCAGTAGTCTCCTGGTGATTTGCATCTAATTCCTGGAGACTCCGGGGGCATCTTGGAGGGTTGGCAACTCTGCTGCCTATACATGTGCTTGTTCATTGGAGCAGATTTGATTTATCAAGTCTGCTCCATGATCTAAACAGAATGCTCCAGTGTCACCTCACTGTCATGTGTATTAAGCCCCCATGCATTTTAAACTGTCTGCGGGGGCGCTTTAACTAAACCTCGTCGGATGACCTGTCATTTTAAAACATGCGGGGGCTTAATACATGTGGCAGTGAACTGTTTTAATTACAGTGGCTGTCTGGGAACTGCTCTAATTAAAAAACACCCCCCTCTACCCCTGAGCATGTGGCATTATGCTTATTTACACTGTTTTCTTCTAAAACACTGTCAAAGCTAAACAGCAAGTATTACAGCAGTAGAATACAAGAGTCTCTATTATAACACATCTAAGGCAGGACACTGGAGATCAGCTTAGGGACTTCTGCTGACACATATGGGAGTCATACAGTGGTACCTATGCACCAGCCACATTTTGAAAAATGAACATGTCAGGCAGACTCCTAAACCCGCTAGCAGGATTCTGGTCTTAATCAGTTAAGGGCAAGCTGGATTTTGTAGAACATCAGACATTTGATATTCAATGCAGCCAGTGGGAATCTGTTTGTATAAAGTTGCTGTGAAAACTGATTCAAAGTCTCTCTCTCACCTGCTTGTGCTTGGGATCTACATCAAATGAATGGAAGCCAAATGTAGGTGGCTGCATGATGGTTATTTTCTTCCCTGTATCAACCGCTGTTCTTTTTGGTTGCAGCTTTTGGAGAAGGCTTGAAAATACAAATGAGAGAAGTCAATGCAATGACACCTGACAACTGATACATCCCTAGGTGGTCTGAGGGTGAAATTGTTATTACTACACATCTTTCCTTATTATAAATAAAATAAGGAGAAGCAGCCAGTCAGTGGTGTCAACAACTATTCTTAGCACTCAGTGCTGACTGTTAGATTGTAGTGCTCTAGAAAAGCAGCTGAAAGATGACAGTTAGTACATGAATAACGGGCTTTAATACAACTGCTTGTCTTTTGATTTACCCTCTTTGCATCCTCTACAGTGCTTCGAGCCACTGTTGCTCCCCTGGGAGCAAGGTAAACTTGGGGGACAAACCTGAATTTATTTTGAGTCTTCACCCTGCCAGTGACATGCCTGGTGCCTACAGTTCCAAGAGGCTCTTTTGGTAGCTGAGGATCCCCAGAGCATCACCAGCAGCCCTCATATCAGAAATGCTGCTGCACACTATATGAGCTGTTAATGGATATTTATGTGGATATACAGATCTGTGCATGCCGTATTAAAAGTTCAGTAGCAACTAGCAGGTATGCTAAAACTTAAGATAATATAGCTGAGGTTGATATAAAAATACTGGCACAGAGAGGATATTAGCTCTGTTCAATGCTAGAAGTTTTCAGAGCATTCAGGTCTACATCCAGAGGTGGCTCCTTGCATATGTACTTACAGGGGGGCAGGATGGTCTTTAGTTAAGGTACAGCAATGGGAGTCAGCTAAATACTGTTACCTTCCCCCCTATCACTTCCTTCCTGTTTAACAGTGGGCCAGTCTCATAAAGGGAAACTTGGAATTGTAGCTAAAGCTCATTTCAGGTACTATTCCTGCATCTGGATTCACCTACTTGATTTTGTGGTTTCACAATCAGATTTTCTAATTTAAGAAATACCACTCAAATGTGCATGGGTCTTACCAATGTGGCCATGTGGTCATGAACTTTTCAGTACTTCTTTAGGCTTAGAGTTTGTTGAAGTATCAAACTTAGCTGCTATCTGGCAGCAAAGAGAATCTCCTTAAAAGGACTGACAAAGACTTACCTTGTTATCCTTTCTTTGACTTCCCTCAAAGATTCCTTCACCTTGTTCAGTTCAGTCCGGATATCTGCTGCCTCTTCTGAGGAAGAATTCTCCATTACCATCTGGCCATGAGTTTCAACAAGGTGCAACTGGAACTCCTTATCTGGGAACTCAGCCAACAATCTCTGAAATTCACACCATTCCCAGTCACTTCCAGGGGCTGCTGGTATTCCTGAGGCTTTACCACAATGCATGATACCTAGGTCAGATTAAGGGCTTTGTTTTCTCCAGGACTTGGTGGGCTTCTGCCAGCACCATACCATTGCAAACAGCAAAACGTTGGCTATGGATTTCTACAGCCCAAATATTTGGAGTACAAGTTTGGAGCATAGCCAGGACATCCTTGTGGTAGCATCCGCTGAATTCAATGAAAATTAAAGTCGCTGCCACCAACTCAAGGGTCAATTAAAACA